TTTGTTCGAAAAAATATGGCACACGCTTTTCATGGATTCCTTGATATGACGTTTATCAGTATTATTATTTTTCTTTTTTTTTAATCACCTGGAGATGCATTTATTTTATATTGACAGAATAAAGATTTAGATACAGATAGTCTGGAAGAGTTACAACATATTCATAGTATAAACAACGGGCCCTCGAAGTATGTAGAGGCATTATGTTAATTTGTATAGTGATGACAAACGATTATTTTTAGATGATATCAAGTTACGATATAATGATATGATGATATGCCCTCATAATTCGTCTTTGTCTTCCATAAAATATCAGTGAATTTAATATACCGACATGCAAGCAGAATATTTACTTAAAATCCCATCAGATGAAACTGAGGCTAACACTCAAAATAGTACAAGGAAAATACGACCATATGTTCCAGAAGGTTTAGCGTCCTCATCTTTATCGACAACACCCACAATGAAAAATCTTGGTCATGTCACGTTCCCAAATGAAAACAAGGTCGTACAGAAGAATCATTAGTGAATAGCATATTTAAATACAAATTTTAATTCGACATAGTAGAAACATGTAATGAATTAGCTGCGTCAAACAACTGTTTCGGCCTTCTGTGGCACGAAATTGATGCATGCTAAAGGACCTAAATTTTGAAACCTTTGAGGCGACTGAGGGAAACATGAAACAGCAGATGTAGATGTACACCCTAATTTAATTTATTTTGTTATTTTCATAGATATGGTATTTTCAAAAGAATATGTATATTTTGAACCATGCCACTATTCGAATAAAAATGTGACATGCAGGCAGGTTACTGCGGTAAACCTCAAGGACTAAAAATCTACCAGCAATGCCCATCACAACAATGGAATCATCAGGAAAAGGTGGTTAGCCATATATCCGGACACTTTGAGAGATTGAACATCAACTTGTCTTGACAAATGTTCTGTATCCCTCTTGAAGATGAACTATTAAGAGTTGAAGGATAATTAAGAAAATCGTCGGAATGTTCATCTTTCCGTGGTCAACTTGATACTGATTCGGGTATAAATGTATGACACAATGGCGTGACTCACCGAGTCCCGGACGTCTACGCTTGCTCCTTCGTGGAGTAACCTCAATGCCTCTTCCCGACGGCCATTCCGTATGGCAGCAGCAAGTGAGAGAGCCTGTAAATGGAAAATTGGATGAAACATTATAACCACCGTATAGGTATTCACTATAGGTAAAAAATTGTTCCATGCTATGAGAAACTTCTTAGTGCGTGACAGCTCTCTTTTCCTTACCACATATGAGATGGAGTTACATTTTCTGCAGAAAATATGAAGCATCGGATATTAGATCTTTATTTCTCTTATTTCTTTCTTCCCAAAGGTTTTTTTCATATCTTGCCTCACATTTGATCCGTGTGAGGGACAGTTTTCTGACCAGGCCGTGACTAACCAAAGTCATCAATCTAGTACTTAGTACTCTCAGTTTTACATCCAGTATCATTCTGTCTTAGGCATGACATTTCAGTGGAATTATGTTTAATGTCCTTAAGCGTTACATTCTGACTATGGTTAAATCTCCTATCTTGAATGACCATGAGCGTTGAGTTTTAAAATGAACCCACACGGCTAATGCTGAATGACATGTTCACATGATATTGAATGTGGTCGCCGGTTCGAGGCCTACTTGGGGCAGTTGCCAAGTACTGGTCGCATGGTGGTTGTTTCACTTGTAACTCCGACTATTTTCCAAGGTCCAACCCTGGCACGTTCATAATAAATGCCCTTGACTGTTAAGAGGACTTAAAGCACCAATAAACAAAAATCGTGGTTATCTAACAATCCCTCACTTACCCTTGTCAGAATGATTACATGTTGCGATAGACGAGGACGAATAGCAACGAAGATGATTTATAATTTTTGATATTCGGCTTTCGACAGTGGCAGAATTATATGGTTTAAATTAACACAAGATAAATATATACTAATGAAACCTGATATCTATTCACAAGACCAAATTGCATCTAACGTTATGTACATTGATTAAAACATTAAATCTTTAGATAAAGACTTGATATTACGATATGATTAACAAATTTTGGTTTGAAATACTTGGAAAAAATTACGACCCGTGACTGCCTTGCATTGTTCTGGTAATGACGCATTTTGACGCATTTTAATGACATGCATACATTTTATCACAAAGTTATATCACACTGTGTGATGACTGAACTTTTGCATTTTAATTGTTTCATTATATTACATTACATTAATGTCATAAAATCGTTCATTGCTTACAAAACGAAAGCATTGGTGTTCAAGGCAATGCTAATCATAAGCTCAACTGCCCATAGATAAGATTTTTGTCTATGTGCTGTATACTGCTCGGTCAGTAAGTAATATAATACATGTAAGTATGTTTTTCACGTGTACCATATTAGTGGCCATATCATCAAATCGGCTTACTACTATACACCTATGTATCTAAATGGTGAAGTGTTGTCGTCCAAGTTCTATTGACATCGACGTTTGAAATAGATAAATCTATTAATTTCATCAGTCGACATATAGAAAAATAGAAGTCATGTCCATAGGTTTACGTCCGTAACAATCCCTCACTTACCCTTGTCAGAATGATTACATGTTGCGATAGACGAGGACGAATAGCAACGAAGATGATTTATAATTTTTGATATTCGGGTTTCGACAGTGGCAGAATTATATGGTTTAAATTAACACAAGATAAATATATACTAATGAAACCTGATATCTATTCACAAGACCAAATTGCATCTAACGTTATGTACATTGATTAAAACATTAAATCTTTAGATAAAGACTTGATATTACGATATGATTAACAAATTTTGGTTTGAAATACCTGGAAAAAATTACAACCCGTGACTGCCTTGCATTGTTCTGGTAATGACGCATTTTAAATGCGATGTTCTTTTGGTGTCTTACATGCATACATTTTATCACAAAGTTATATCACACTGTGTGATGACTGAACTTTTGCATTTTAATTGTTTCATTATATTACATTACATTAATGTCATAAAATCGTTCATTGCTTACAAAACGAAAGCATTGGTGTTCAAGGCAATGCTAATCATAAGCTCAACTGCCCATAGATAAGATTTTTGTCTATGTGCTGTATACTGCTCGGTCAGTAAGTAATATAATACATGTAAGTATGTTTTTCACGTGTACCATATTAGTGGCCATATCATCAAATCGGCTTACTACTATACACCTATGTATCTAAATGGTGAAGTGTTGTCGTCCAAGTTCTATTGACATCGACGTTTGAGATAGATAAATCTATTGATTTCATCAGTCGACATATAGAAAAATAGAAGTCATGTCCATAGGTTTACGTCCGTAACATTACAAAAGGAAAAATGATGAATGAAATTACACTCATTACCTTATAAAGAATAGGATTATATATATTTTATCTATATATGGTACCATTAAAAAAAGACGAAAACAAAAGCAAAATTAAAAAAAGAACAAGAATATTTTTCACTAATGTAGGTGTATTACCTTTTGTTCCCCGTCATCCAGTGGGGTTAGCGACATCAGTACAGGTGTGTATGGACTAGAGATAAGGGGCTTGTCCGTAGGTCGACGCAAAATTGACTGTAGCTCATAACATAGTCTGGGTAGACAGCAGTGTCAGCGCAGCAGTCAAACACGATATGTAAAGTTTACATATCAATGCAGTATATATATATGCGGTGTATATATACTGTATCCTATACGCATTCATTGTTCTTAACAATAGTATCCATTTTTGCATGTTATCAGATCAATAAAAAGCTGTTTTGTTTTTCAGGCGCGTTACTTGAAAATATTCTTTTCGACGAACGCTAAGAAATGTGAATTCACATAGTATAACTTATAACAAAGTAAAGTTTACCACCGATTTCAATGGTAACACACTCGCCTTTCACCTAGCCGTCCGGAGTTCGATTTCCGGAATGGACGTGAAAAGGTATGGTGATCATCTGTCCGACCACGCGGGTTTTTCGTGGGACCGATCGCGCGCGACCATCCGGCCACCAAGAATGATTGCTCCCTCAATAAGGTGTCTCCTCATGTGTTTGACTTCCTCATAGTGATGCTGCACCAGTAATTTTGACACATGGTGCGAACCAGGAAGCAAATAAGTCGCCTTTAGTTTAGACTCTTAGCAGCACTGAAAAGTGATGTATGATGTTATTAAGTTCATAATTTCACTCTATTGTATCTTATTTTTAATATGTATTTGACAGTGATATCAACTTGTGCGTCGTTGTGCAACATTACCATTACCAGCGTTTTTCACTGTCTGTCACGTATGAACGACTTCTTTTAAAAGCTTACGGATCGTTATTTTGCTAGTGGTTTTATCTATTGACTGGTTAGACAACAATGAATTAGCCAGAAATCGTCAATTAGTTTAAAAGGACATTGACTGGTATTGAAATACCGGCTATTGTAGATATAGCAGACTTATCACTAACTCATAATTTGTTACACCGCGGTATTGGTTGCAGAAAAACAGGTTTTCTTATACGATAGATTATTGATCAAAATACATCCAGGTAATTACACATACACAATCTGTGCATTGACGTAAAAATAGCCCAATATTGTAGTGGCACCCTTCCCTGGCAGGTATCCACCGATAAACGGACAGTTTAGGAATCAGTATAACAGCGGTCCTGGGGTAATGACAACCAATAACTTAAAGAAGCACTGAACCATTTACTTCCTTGTTTGCCCCAGCATAGAACAAACGAATAATGATTCACGAAGACTTCAACATAAACATTTAACATTGAGGAATGTTATAGTTTTTTTCATGGATTAGATTTTCGAACATTTTGCCGTAGCAGTAGATTGAAATGATCTGTGCTTCCTGACAGTCACTTGGTTACGCAGGCAGATTGACGAACATGTCACAGTGACCAATTGCCAGAGTCAAGAAATAAACATTTTTGAACAGTTCAAATGTAACAATGACACAAGTGGCACCCCAACAGGAAGAAGTTCAGAATCTCAAGGTAGGTCGTGCAGATGGACATTGAAAACTATTTCTTTTCTCGGCTGTTTGCACCACTTTATTCTACAAGTCTGCAGTTTTTCGTGGCGTGATATCAATATAGTTTAAAATTATGTAATACTGTTAACAGTTAGTTAAAAGTATGTACATGAAAATATCAGCATTGTATCTAACAAAGCATATAATGAGTATTTTAATTGTCTATACAATACCATAGATTAATTCAGATTTACACTATATTACAAATTACTTGACAACTTCATACATAACTAAATTTACAATATTATATATAGTTATATTTTTCTGTACAATAATATGCAATGATGCATGTAGTAATAAAAACTTTACAGACCACATTCGATAACATGTGGTTGTATGTCACCTGCCATTTTAGTTCTCTAGCTTTACACTGTTTTTATAAAGACGTGTACAGACCGCATGGTTAATGGTTTTATATTACAAAAAGAGTCGACAATTGTATCAGAATGTTTTTAAAAGGTAATAAACTGCCTACAGCCATGATTCATTGACAGCTGCGGTGTGACAAATTATACACGGTATATATTGTAAAGGGCTGACTGTTCTGTCAATACTAGATATACCCGTGTAAGCAATATAATCAAAACTTGCTTGATATCGGTATAATGGACGAATTCATGTCCTTGTTGCATGTAATATATATACACTAAACATGTAAACTGTATTTACTATATATGCACACTACTTTAAAATTCACACCAATCTTAAGTAAGTCCCGCAGAAAAACTAGACCCATCGTTTCCTGAAATCTGACTGAGAGCAACATCACTTATTAAAGGAAAACATCAATGCGAAATAAACGGTTTTTATATCAAACGAACGGGAAAATGAAACTATTAAAATAAATGCGAACGTTTGCATTTCTGTATTCATAACTTAAATTTGTGACTTTACTGTTTCATAAAACTGTTATTAATGTTGACACGAGAAACTTCTTCCTGAACTTTTAACTAGGATCTTACTGGGCACATAAAAACTGGTTTTTGAAGTATTATCCAAAATGTTAAGCTACATGAGGTTTTTAGGAGGGGTCCTAAATGTCGTTAAACACGTCGTTAATTACAATATAAATTTTAAGATAGTATGGATTCCGCGTAATACTGTGCCAGAAAATGCCTAAAATGAGAACATGCCACATTTTTTATTGTTTTTATTTTTTTAACCATTCAACATCAACTTACCTTTCCGTAGTGCCTGTTGGGATTGGGCATTTTAACAATTGTTTACCATTTCGGTCGAGGTTAGATATATTCACGTAAACCAACTTGATATTCTAACGTGTTATTTTGTTGCCTAGTATGTATCTTTCGGATGTCATAGCTATCCATGACCTACACAGTTACATAAAAAGATTGTTCTAATATATTGTTTAAACCTCACTTCCAATCTAAATTCGTGATTTAAAATTACAATTTTATTCATACGTTATCACACTGCAGGCCCAGTTGCTGTTTACTCTTCGCGATAGTAAACCAAAGGAAGCGATCAAGCTGTTGAAAGAGGGAGCTGGTGTTGACTTCAGAGATCAGGTAAACATTGATTTATTGCCCAGGTCACGTAATCAGTTCTTCTATCAAACTGTAGTGACTATAGAACTGTCGTTTGAAGATCTATCTTTTTTTTTAATCAAAATTCCATAATCTAACTGTAATATTTACTGGCATGTGATTTACCTACATTGCATTCGTTCATAGATTTCATACCTTTGTCAGCAATACTGTTCTCTATAATCTGAACCGTCCGATATGAGTGTAAATTCGAAAATTGTGCATAATCAAATTATAAATGTCTTTTTTTGTGAAGAGTGAATCAATTACTTTTCTGGTTTGGGTTCTCCATAAACAATGGTTCTGCGTGAGAGTTAGCTGTTGTCGACTGCAATAAAAATATTCGGCTACACTATACTGTAATAATTACTGTTCCCAACCAAAGCTCAAGACTTATTGTTTTTTCCCTGCTTCTTCTTCTTACAAACTAACCATGGATAAGTATTTACATGTTAGTGTATTTAAAATGCAGCTGTGTCGTATTATCCTTATTTTGGCCCAGGAGTCTGGTGACATGTGTGGTCGAGCTAAAACAAGACCTGTGTGCTGGTAAACAATATTTTCAAATAACTTGTTATTCACCAGTTTCATAGCAATAGATATTAGACTCAAGGAAAGGTAAGTAAATAGAAATGAAAAAGGAAAAAGCTAGGTAAATCAAAAGTGCCCGATCTAAGCTTCGTACCCTTAGCCATAATAAAATTCCCTGTTTAAAAAATTCAGCTACGGTACCGAAAATTCATCTATCGACTGTTTGCTCCAAAGTGAATAAGCAGCTAATCTATAAATACTTTGGTAGTAGCTTTTCACTTATGGACAAAACTAGCCACTACGTTTCTGGAGTAACTACGAAGATGGCTTTAAAGTCGTATCAACTATCTGTTGTCCAGTGTCGTCTGTTAAGAGTATGAAAACTGCATAACTGGTCAGGTAGTTTCCTTAAGTGCAGACAGGCTTAACTATTGACAAAACTATTTCCTACTTCTTTAACATTCCTTTGCGATAGCAGGGGTAGTTCGGGGGACTTATGTAGCGATCGCCGTTACAATTAGAACTCAATTTCGCTTAATTGTGTATCGTTACAGACGGGATGTCGTCCATTACATTACGCAGCAAAGAATGGTTATGTAGAGGTCATAGAACTGCTGCTGGAAAAGGGCGCTCAGACATTTGCTTGGGATAATGTAAGTATCACTTCCCAGTTTTATGTTTGTTATAGAGCCACTGCAGAGAAAGGATGCCGAGACGTTCGCTTGGGATAATGTGAGTATCACTTTCTTGTGTTATGTTTACATCTTTGTGCGATATAAAGTTTGACGTGTTCGATGCTCGTTAGTCTCCGGTTGAAATTTTTGTATATCATGCTCTCATTTGAGAACGCGCCATTTATTATTTTTAATAACCAAGAATTATATGGTTAGTTTCAATGAAGCAGAAGACGCTCACTCTCTTGCAACATCTGGTCTTGTTTTTCTCGTCCTTTTTGTTTTTTTAGGAACCCACGTGTAAATATTTCTTTCGTTCATATTTTGCCCTAGTTTTATTGAATTTGAGTTTTGATTATGATCATGTTTACATGCTGTTATTTTCTTGTTGATATAGTAGATCTTGTTGATGGAGCTAGTGTTTCCATGGTAATAGGGTCATACGTGTTCACTGAAACAAAATCAAATGTGTTCATGGCAACAAGATCAATGACATCCATGGTAACGAACTGTATGGACATGGATATTAGGTCAGTTGTTTTTAATTTTAGAACGGCCAGACAGCTCTCCACAAGGCTGTCATGCAAGGTCATGTTCAGGCTATCGTTGTATTGGTCGCAGGAGGGGCTAAGATTGATGTTATTGACCGGGTGAGTATCAGAATTGATATGGTCTCAAATATCAAAATGATAAGATGAACGAAAGCAAATATCACCTTGGAAAGTTCCCATGCCGCTTTAAGACTAAGAAATATTAGAATTTTACAACAACTACGCATTACAAAGGAAAGGCAAAAAGATCCTTTTACTTTCATACCGTCACACTTATAAAAACAGAATCTTTAACTTACATCAAGAGACAAGAAAGTCAAACATAGAAACAGGACCACCGAGCTGATATCTGAGACCGGCCCAATGAAATTACACATAGAAGCAGAAACACCAAACTTACACACGGAAACAAACCCATTAAAATTACACATAGAAACAGGACCACCGAACTTACATACAGGAACAGGTCCATTAAAATTTCAAATGGAAATATGATCACCGAACTTTAATAAAAATGAAGGTCCATAAAAATTACACATGTAAACAGGATCACAGAACGTTCATGAAGATGAAGGTCCATTAAATATATTACAGATAGATACCGGACCAACGAACATTCATACAGAAACATGTCCATCAAAATTACACATAGAAACATGACCACCAAACATATATACAGAAATAGGCATATTAAAATTTTACATAGAAACAAGACCACCTAAAGTATATACAGAAACAACTCCATTAAAATTACACAAAGGAAGACGACCACCCATCTTACATACCGAAATAGGTCCATAAACATTAGACATGGTAACAGGACCACCAAACTTACATACAGAAACAGGTCCATAGATATCATACATAGATATTATATTTATTATTGAAACACATAAATCAAGCTCACATTTAGGAGTAAAACTTACTTTAGATAGGTCCTTTAGAATAGCATGTCTCTATTTATAAACCAGATGGGACACCTACCACTAGAGTATGCAGTGAAAAAAAAACATGTTGCTATGGTTGAACTATTGTGCCAATTTGGAGCTGAGCCACAACTACTAGACTGGGTAAGTAATACCACAATGCTTATCTCTGACTTTGCAACATATATTTGTAGATAAATATTTAGTTTTGTTGTTGTTGTTTAGTGATGATAAAAGTAGCTCCTCTTAGAATGAGTATGAAGTTTTCATTTCACTGCTTTTAACAAAGTTTTAAGGTTTCAAAGATAGGTTAGTGACAGTTTGTTTAAGAGTGATTTATAACCAATCCCGTTAGAACCGAACTAATTTTCAAAGTCTCGCTTTCTCAAACAAGATAGAGAATTGTTACTAGTGTTGTAATCAGCTGTGTTAATACTCTAGAAAGTTATAGTGAAGACTCTACTTAGTCTGTGCAAACGCATTTCAGTATAACCACTATAATCAATTTTAATATTTTTAGAGCTGGTTAAAAGATAAAGAAATTACGAAAATGAAGGATGTGATGCAAATCGCCAAGGTTCTAAAGAAACAGCTCAAGAACATGTCTGGTTACAAACACAGGTAAATCACAGGCACAAGCTCATACCTGGTTATAAACAAAGGTAAATCACTGGAACAATCATATGTCTGGTTACAAACTCAGGTAAATCGCAGGCACAAGCACATGTCTGGTCTCTCTTGTAACAAGCACAGATAAATCGCAGGCACAATCACATGTCTGGTCTCTCTTGTAACAAGCACAGATAAATCACTGGAAAAAGCACATGTCTGGTCTGTCTTGTAACAAGCACAGATAAATCACTGGAAAAAGCACATGTCTGGTCTGTCTTGTTAAAAACACAGGTAAATCACAGGCACAAGCACATGCCTGGTTATAAGCACAGGTAAATCACAGGCACAAGCACATGACTGATTATAAGGACAGGTAAATCACAGGCACTCTTTTACATCTGGTTATAAACACAGATAAATCACTGGAACAAGCACATGCCTGGTTATAAGCACAGGTAAATCACAGGCACAATCTTATATCTTGTTATAAACACAGATAAAGCACTGGAACAAGCACATTTCTGGTTACAAACACAAGTAAATCACTGTATCACTTGAACAAGCTCATGTTTGGTGATAAACACAACTTAATAACTGGAACAAGCACATGTCTGGTTTGTCTGGTTACAAACACAGGTAAATGACTGGAACAAGCACATGTCTGGTTAAAAACACAGGTAAATCACAGGAACAATCTCTAATCTGGTTATAAACACAGATAAATCACTGGAACAAGCCCATGTCTGGTTTGTCTGGTTACAAACAAAGATAAACCACTTGAACAGGCACATGTCTGGTTTGTCTGGTTACAAGCACAGGTAAATCACGGTATCACTGGAACAAGCTCATGTTAGGTTATAAGCACAAGTTAATCACTGGAACAAGCACATGTCTGGTTATATACACAGGTAAATCACTGGAACAAGCACATGTTTGGTTTGTCTGGATACAAACACTAGTGAAAATACACATTTATCAATGAGACATTTCTCTATATTTAAGTGGCAAAGCGTACGACTTCAACGTTACAATGTAGCCAACCCTTTATAAAAAATCGTGTGATCATTTTTGACGCTTTTAAACCATCTTCCATTTAAGTGTTTACTATCGACTAGTAGGTAGTGATAACACTGTATGACACATTTTAAATCATATGAATGGTAGTACACTTCAGTACTTAACGCTCGTTTGAAATCATGCAAATTGGAAATTGAGGACATGGAGATTTTGTGAACTGACGAATTCTCGGAGGAATAAAATAAAAGCACGATGTAGTTTTATTTTTTATTTTTAGATATAAACTTTACTCAATTTTCAACAATTGCGAAATAAGTTAACAAGTTGCATAAATCACTTTTTTGACCCAGACTGAAGCGAGCGCGGGGTCTTCTTGTGGGAGGAAACTGGAGTTCCCAAGGAAAAAGCGTGTAGTGTTCAGGTGACCTCGCACCTTTTCCTGTCCGATTTTTGAAATCTAACTATATTTACATTGGTGAAAAGCAAATGTGTTGCTGCTGTGCCAACCGACCACATGTAGAAGTTTTGATACACTTTTCTCGGGGACATGTAGGTGGTACCCCATTCCAGAAACCCAAGCTTAACTGAATAACCATTCTGATTGACAAAAGTCACGATTGTAATAGTAAGAGATTACTGATATGAAACTTTTACTTTAATTGCAGTTTCATGTAACTGTCGTAAAATCTTCGATATTATATCTTCCAACAGTGAAATACGACTGGACGTAGCTATGATCTCCCCAGGGGAGGGGTCAATAAAACTAAATAATACCGGAGTGGAGGTCACAGCGAATGAAGGTCAGGAGCGTTTCTACCTTTACCTTAGCCAAACGGAGGAGGCGTACAGTACCCCGCCACCCCTAGAGGAGGAAGAACAGGCATTTGGTCACATATTGGAGTTTCAGACATGGGGGGCTAAGGTTAAGTTCATCGCTCTAACAGTAACCGTGGATCGACCGGTCCCGAAAAATGAGGAAGTCGTCCTACGTCCGGAGACTCCAAGAGGTGGTATTGACCATGTAGAGATACAAGAAGTAGACGGGAAAGAGGTATCAATTATAGGATTTTATTAAGGCTTCGCACGGTGTTCGCCTGTCAGTCAGTCTGTCTGTCAGCACTGTCGTTTCCGTGCGATAACTTGAGTTTCCTTGGGCCTATTAAGCTCAATCTTCATACAGTGCTTCCTTAATGAATGCGTTTGCTTGCTTTGGATTGCTTTTTAGCTTCAAAGGTTCAAAGCAAGGTCACTGTTACTATGAAAAGAAAACCCTGCGATTATTCAAGTTTGCTATGACCAATAAAATTCAAACCAAATACAATGCTTTCTTACTAAAATGGCTCGCTTTGGATTGCTGTTCAGTTCCCGAGGTGAATGGTCCAGAGTACTGTTCCTCAAATAAAATAAAAAATTGGTTTCCGTCACATAACTTGGGTCCCCTTTGGCCCATCAAACTCAAACTTCATACCATGCTTTCCTACTGAAAGTGCTTGCTAGGAATTACTGTACTTTTCAGACTCTGAAGTCAAAGGTTGAGGTTATTGTTGCTATGATGGAAAATCAATTTATGGAATAATTTTCTGTGGCAAATCTAACTCAAGCTTGATGCAGTGCTTCTAAACCAAAAGTGCTTTTGTTTGAGATATATTGCCATTCAAGTCTAAAGGTCAAAGGTCACTGAAGCTATAAGTTACAATTAGTTTCCGTACTATATCTTGAGTTTGAGTTTTCAATCTAAATCAAACTTAATACAATGTTTCCTTACTAAAAGTGCTTGATTGGGATATATTATATACCATGTTCTAAAGTCAAAATTACTGTTATCATAAATAACAAAATCAGATTGTTGAATGTATTTGTTTGTTTTGTTTTTTGTTGTTTTTTTTTATAATTATTTGGTTTTTGTTTTTGTTGTAATAGTCTTTCTTGGCTTTGTGTACTTAAGGTCTTGACAGTATCTGACAGTCATGAGGTTTGGTTCTAAGGATGGGTTGGTGGGGGGATATCAAACCACATAGTGGGATCCTTGCTGACCTGATAGTGTTCTAGTCTTAATCGTTGTTAGAGTTATCAAAGGAAAGTTTTACCCTTGTTTAAGTTACTTCATAGTTACCTAAAGGCCATTTTTCAGTTTAAATGGTAATCTATGCTGACAGTTTTCAACGGTAAATTGAAATGGCAATTTTTCTTTGTTTATGTAGGTGACCAAAGTGACTCTTACCGTTCCACTGACATCTGGCTTCCATCGATTCGCCATGGCAACCAGGGAGAAGAAGCAAATCGTCAAGGTCTCTAAAGAGGCTGTTGTGTTCAAACCAGAGGTTGAACCCGAGGCAGAAATTGATATCCCAGCTGGTACGTTCGATTCAGTGGAACTGTCAATAAAAGTGAGTATCTTTGAAACAAAGTTGTATTGTTCATCACGTGTTTCACAAACACACATTCGTAATCATCCCTCTACTGAACGACGTTTTGCCCAGTCATCCTTTCGTTGTTTACCGAAAGAAACTTATTATCTGTTTCGGTTCGTCAGAAGTGAGGAAGTAAGTGACACATAATCAAAACAATTAAGTTGATATCTAGAAAACTATATTTCCAGTTCGTAGATACTGCTCCCGTAAATGAAGATATCAGAGACAGTGAAGAAGCAGGACAGTCCACGGAAGGTCAAATGATAACGACGAATGTGCTTGACCTCACGACAAGTGATGACCAGCAGCCTACCAAAGACATAAAGATGAAGATACCGATTACAGCTAAAGACAAATCGGAGGAGTTTGTTGTAATGACGTCATCAGACCCCGACCCTAATCTGGATGAATGGACATGGGAAATACTACCGGCAGAAATAGATGATGCTGGCAAGGCAGTTTTCGACATTAAACACCTTTCCATGTCAGTATAATTTTCCATTGTCTGCAAAACAGCTAAACGTCCTAAATACAATATTTATACTCGGAATTGTTCTCATAATAGGAAAATTGAAAAAAAAAACAGGTGTTCTTGTAGGCAAAATAAATCCCAACGAAGTCACCTTTGAGAATTTTGCGAAAGCAACAAGACTTTTACATTGAGACTTAAACAACAATAGTTTTGGGCGAATCCTCTCGACCTCCGAGATTGGTCTCACTCTAGTCTCCGAGATTTACCTAACTCTAGCCTCCGACGTCTGTCTAACTCTGTCTCATCTCGATGTTTATGAACATTGATTGCAATACAGAATATTAAAATGTACACATGCTTGATGTTCTATTGAATTCAGTAATTCTATAGCATTCAGTATAAATGAACGCGTTACTTAACATTTGTTGAAGGGAGATAACTCTAGACATGTTGAATTTGAACTGAATTGTAAATCAATGTCACCGTGTGGTCAGATCATATGACTTAGTCGGGGTGTACTCGGACCAGTTGTTGTGTAATCGCTACGGTCATTAACATAAAACTAGTATTATTGTATAGATACTTAATTATGACAAGCTTATAAGTTTCAGCTGTACATTAAAAATATTGGAAAAAAAAACATAAGTATTACATGTTCAGTGCTTTTTAAGCGATAATTGTAAATTAAAAATATCAATAGGATTTACATTTATCATGATATTTTTCCAACCATGTCTATTTCAAGGTTCGTATAGATCAGGCCTTAAGACTGACTTTTTCAAAACCTTGCATGGTTTATTCAATTACCAAATGGCTTCCTGCGCTATACCTGCCGAAACGGTGTCAATTTTAAGTGATTAATTATATATTCTGGTAATATTAATTTTCATTATACTCCACTCGTCATCATTATGTTTAAGTATTCTATAAAAATGGAACGTTTACTTAACATTTGTTAAAGGGAGATAACTCCAGACATCTTGGTTTGAAAGTCAAATAGCACATATTGCGGCACGTCAAATATACACTTGTATTCAAATAATGTAATTTTGTCAAGATTATCTCAGATCAGCTTTAGTATAGTCGCTAACAATAACGTTAATTAGATAATTACTTATAATTTTATACAAACGCGTTAATCTCTGATACTTTGCAGATTTGCAGGTGCTTCGAAGAAAATGGTTGATAAGGACGAGAAAGTTGTCGGAACTGCCATTCGCAAATCCTATCTAAAAATGAGGAAAATTCATTTTTTAGTCATGGTAAATAAACTCCAGTCCACTGAAAACGAATATGATGTGATTGTAATCTGTGGCACTCCTCGTAAAACAAAAGGGGTCGTGAAGGAAATGAAACGGTCCTATAAATGCTTCGGTGGAGGAAATGATTTGTTGGATGTGCCAGAGGGACAAATCTTCCAGGTAATACTTAACAACAAACTACAGCAACAAAATATTTTTCTTCTTTTTCTTACTTGCTTCAGCACACATTTATATCATAATTAATAAGATGTCTAGTCGCAACGTTTTTGAAAATTCTTACTTCAAATGTTTGTTATGTCATTTTTGTTTACTTAAAGTTGACGTGATGTTTCGCTGAATCTTGTCTGATGACTTACACCAAAATATGCTCCGCGCTGAAATATAGGTCCAAAATTATATAAATATAAGAGCAATTTTATGAAATTTCGCACTTAGATAAGCTGTTTTCGTCACTGCCGATTACAGAAAAAAGATATATGGCATTAACAATGCATGTTGCAAAATAAAATTCCTTTGTATATAAAGATATATCTACTTCTTAGTTTGTACTGAAATGTAACGTACACGTGTCTTTGGTGCAATCCGTTAATATTGCAGGTAGTAGAATCTGTTTCCCCAAGGTTTGCTCCAACCTGTAAGCCACGTTTTGATTCGGATATAGTGGCACGGTTTAGAATAAACACATGATTATGCAATGATTTTCTTTAAATTTGAAATTATTAGATTTTAACAAGTATGATTGGTTGTGCACCTCCTCATTTAGATTTTGACATTTCTTTCAAACAATTAAACTTTGAACGTAAGCGTCACTATTGAAACCCTATGTTTTAAGAACGACTCATGGAAAAAAGAAACAGTTAATTCGTTACTATTCGTTACGATTGTATCAAGCTGTAAATTCGTATTAAAATGTGCCGTTCATATTTTTATGTCCTTTAGGCAATCTTGTTCTGTCAATATTACGTTTCATCTTTCAAGATTTGTTGCTCGGAATTTACAAATTGTACATAGATATTTATCTAAATAGTTTTCAAAATGGCATTGTTCATACGCCTTTTTACTTTCTTTAACACTTGACCGAACTGGAAATTAATTAGGACATTAAGAGTTTTCATTAAACACATCAAACACTGAACATTACCTACCTTTAAATTTCTTGTATATTTTCATCAAATCATTAGATATTCCGTTCTTACCTGTATTAGAACGTCTGTTCCCATGTTTACTTTGGATGTTAAAGTAGACAAGTGTCACTACAGAAGATGTTTACTTTAGATGTAAAACAGACAAGTGTCACTACAGAAGATGTTTACTTTAGATGTAAAACAGACAACTGTCTCTACAGAAGACGTTTACTTCAGATGTAATACAGACAACTGCTACTACAAAAGCCGTTAACTTTAGATATAAAACAGACAACTGTCACTACAGAAGATATATAGACCACTGTTATTTCAGAAGATGTTTACTGAAGATTTCAAGTACTCATCTTTTCACTACAGAAGACGTTCACTTTCGATTTATGAAAAAGACAACTATCTGTTAATACAGTTCATCTCTGGACACAATACTCCTAGATAACATTAATTCCTGTACATTCCAGATAACATTCCATGGCGGCGTAAAGGAGATCTCTGGGGATGACAATTTGACGGTAATATTTAAAAGCAATGATTCCGTAAGTCAAAGGCGCCTCAAGGTCATAGGAGTTGATCCCGACCTTCAGGAGCTGAGCGGAAAAGTTGAAATACTTTCCGTAAACAAGTTTTATCCCGAGGTCGAAGAATGGAGGGAAACAGGAATTCTTTTTTGCAAATCTAGGAAAAAGGTGAAGGTCAAATCCAAAACCTACGAAACACGCACTGCATCCTTGGTTATTATAGCCTTTGAGATTGCACTTGTTGTGAACGGTAAGTTAACAGAATAATTATATATATTCTTGTTTCTACAGTATCAACCATGGAAATGTGATGCTGTAAATAAGATGCGTATTTGATAAGCATTCTAACCAAACAATAAATTTGAGCAAACACTATTCGGTATTAAATCAAACGGAAAGCACCAACAGATATGACTTGAATCTTCCTCAACGTACGACAATGATTTCTATGTATTTTTTTAATTCTTTTTACTTAAGATCAAAATGAAGAAACTGATCAGCATGGTACCATGGACGACCTAGAAAGGAAAGACGAATGTAAGTTGATTCGTATCTTTTCAGGTAAACTCATATAAATAAATCGATTATATCACCGACATTACATCTAAAGTTAGAAATCAGAGTAACATTTTTGTTACGATACCGTTTTCTGACATGCTACAAGTAGAACTGTGACCGTTAATTCCCTTAGGGCACCAGATTTTATTTCTTTTGTTATTTGTATTTATCAATTTTCGCATAAAGAGAATGTAAAATGGCTTCTGTTTGAAGAGCATAAACATTTTTCGTAGTGTAATATTTGAAGTCTTATTCTAGTTTCATTTCGCATAATTACAAGACAATGGCAATTTGAATACAAAGTTATTTCTAACGTTTTTTTTATATGTAATAGGATGTACCTTTTTATGCACCTGTCAGCATATTTCTTAGTTGTTTTGGTGCCTTAATGAGAAGCTTACTTTTTCAAGATCATTACAAAAAAGTCGAAAAAATTGAAATCGTGTATAAAGCCTACAGGAAAAATCACTACAGCAATCACTTGGTTCGAAATTGAAGAGAGAATAAAATCATATTTCAATCCATTTAAGACTATTATGTCAAACACAACTAATTAATCTAAATGAAATTCATGAAAGTTCAATATCAGTAAGCATAAGATAAGATAAGATTAAGAAGCATTTAACGTATCAGAACCAATTTTATCACTAGAATATGCAAAGCATCGGAAAAGTGTAAATACATAGTAAGATAAAACATCGTGTATTTTCCATATGATGCTCTGAAGATAATATACCTTTATACACTATAATGAGACAATAAAATAAAATAATAAAATAAGTTTTATGTATAAATAAACGAGTACACTGTCTTGGTAATGATGGGACTTAAACCTAGCACGATATTATCGTAATCATCAACTATTTTATTTATCAAACAGGTCGCATTTAATCATAAGTGCCATTGGTATATATAGATTAATATAGTTTTCTGCACGATTTAGGCTAGTTTAGGCTTTAGTAATTCCTTGTACTTAGCACCCAAATAAAATAACTACATCCCTTATTTCCCTAAACGAAATGTAGATAAGCAAGACATATGCAGGTTTCTATTACAAATGTAGTAAGTATGTAGATATATAAACTGGTTGATATAAACTGGTTGACTAAATATGTTGATTAAATTACAGGTATTATTCCTGCTCTCAAGTGGAGAAACCTGCGGGATACCTTGAAGGAGGTGTCTCTAGATGAAGCACTACAACTTGGATTGCAGTTCGGTCTTAAACAAGATGTGATCGATACCATTCAGAAACAGAGCTCTGAAACAGACCTCGCTTTTAACATTATTCGTAAATGGCGACGTAGACGGCCAGGAGCTCATCATGCGGAACAGCTTAAAAATGCCTTTGAGTGTATCGGGAAAGACCAAATTGTGAGAAAGATGGCAAGACAAGGTCTAGAGGAGCAACACGAAAGGGATATCGAAACGTCTAATACTGAGGACTGAGTATTTGTTTATGAGATTTAGTGGGTTTTTTTCACAGGTTGGAGAGGTTGGCGATTTTGTGGTTGACGTCTTATTCTACTTATAAACTTAATT